CTTTTTTACCCAACACTTCTCGTGGTCACTCTTACGGCTTTGATGTGCTGCTTTTAAGGGATTTACGCACTGTCAGATATGATATCTGGAGGAATGGTTCCTGGGGCCTCCAGCAAAGCAGCAGAGGCCGAGAAGAACGATCACTGTTGCTTAGATTGTTGTTGCTTTGACCAACATCTGATTGGCTTTCTTTATTCATTAGCTCTTTTGGCTGGTGGATGAACTAAGAACTGACGACAGCCCTGCTTCAAAAACCGACTTACAGGTCTCACTTAAATCGTACTGCGGAGAACCGTTTCCGGCGGATCATAACAAAACATGATTGTATCTACAGGCTAGAACTGCGTATAGACCTCCAAGGCCCCTTTCTGATTCGTTCATGAATCCGAATTGAGCATTGAACGCATCAGTGACTACCACGGTGTCATTTGAGTGGACACTTCGCTGCAGTAGAGATAAGTCATTGCAGAAATCAAAGCTAGATTAGCGTTTACTAATCTGTGGCATCTCTGGCACCGGCGCGACATATCCCTTTCACTGAAAGGGCGTATGCATTGCGTAACGGTACGCATCGTGTTGCTCTATGGTTGCAAGACCTGGCCTCTCTGAGCAGATCACGTCCAGCGACTATCAGTCTTCGTCAACCGTTGTCTGCGCAACATCGCCCGCGTATGCTGGGAGCATCGCATGAATAACGATGAAATTAGACGACCGGTGCTAGGACCAGATAGTCTTCGTTTGAGCAAAATAATTTCACAGCATCATCCTAGGTGGCTAGGGCACGTCCTACAAATGCCTGAACAACGTCTGCCACACCGTGAACTATTCGCAGACATCAGTCCAGGCTGGAAGAAACAGCGAGGTGGGCAGGTTATGATGTGGCGCAGAGGGTTAAAGAGATTGTGCTCGGATCTGGCTTCCGTTGAGGTTTCCTGGCTCTCCGACTAGAGCCCCAAAGATGCAGATTGTCTTTGGCTGGGGACACTGCGGGATATGGCATCCAACCGAAGTC